GCGCTCAAGTACAAGTATGCATAATTAGCAAGATTTATGCCGTTGATAGTTCCAAATGAAGAGCTAAAGTGCTTCCTCTTTCAATGAAGATTAAGGGATTCCATTCAAAACATTTTAGGTGTCATTCCATTCCACTATCAGAAGCTAGTTTCGTGAAGGCCGTGATCAAGTAGGAATAACGAGCTACTCAAGCGTACCAAGAGTCTGAGAATACAAGTGATGTGTTCAGGAGAGAATGATAATCAACTAAGCAGAATACTAGAGTGAAGAAAAATATATGAAATGCAGCAAAAGACTAAGAGGCAATCCTTGGTGGGTTCTAACCAGTATTATAATTGCAAGGACTTTGAGTACATACTCATGCTTGTTCTTGGCCTTATTTGAATGGATCAAGCCAAAATTTGTTGGGTGGAGCTATGGGAATACAAAAATGCAATAGTCGAATGGATCAGAACAAAAATCATCCAAGGTCAGAACGCCAACCTTCCAAGAGGAGAACTTTTTCCCTAAGCAGCCAAATAGAAGTACAAGAAGCTGAAGTAACTGCGAGTGCATTATATCTTCACCATACGCCGTTGTTCAGCTCATTAAATACGAATGCATCTCAATCACTCAAAGATAAATATACATGTCACGTATTGAGCATTAAATGTACACCATTAATTTTATGGTTGTTTGTCGGTTTGTCCTAATGAAAATTGGAGATGGTATTATTGTCTTGTCATACATGCATGAGAACCTAATTCACAAAGATAGTTTTCTCATCATTAATCACTATGCCTTTGTAAGAGTACACATTTTAGATATTTTGAGTCTATTGTTCAGAGTGATGGTAAAATATATGGGGATATTATTAGTAGAATTCAAGTTGGATGGTTGAAGTGGAGGAATGCATCCGGCTTCTTGTGTGATAGAAAAGTCCCCCTCAAACTTAAGGGAAATTCTATAAGATGGTGGTGAGACCTGCAATGAAAATTGGAGATGGTATTATTGTCTCGTCATACATGCATGAGAACCTAATTCACAAAGATAGTTTTCTCATCATTAATCAATATGCCTTTGTAAGAGTACACATTTTAGATATTTTGAGTCAATTGTTCAGAGTGATGGTAATATATATGAGGATATTATTAGTAGAATTCAAGTTGGATGGTTGAAGTGGAGGAATGCATCCGGCTTCTTGTGTTATAGAAAAGTCCCCCTCAAACTTAAGGGAAATTCTATAAGATGGTTGTGAGACCTGCAATGCTTTATGGTGCAGAATGTTGGCCATTAAAAGAGAAGCATAATTTTAAGTTAATTGTTGCAAAGATGAGGATACTCAGGTGAATGAGTAGTTTTACTCTTAGAGACAGGATACAAAATGAGCATATACATGAAAAGGTTGGAGTAGCTCCAGTGAAAGATAAGATTATAGAGAGTCGCCTTAGATGATTTGGTCATAAAACGGTGGCCTTCCGATGACCTGGTTAGGAAAGTAGATGTATTAGATTTGACTTATGTTAAGACAGGTAGATGTAGACCTAAAAATACTTGGTTATAAAATATTAGAAATGACCTTTCTTTATTAGATTTAGAAGATAATTTGACTCTTAATAAGACACAATAGAGAAAAAAGATTCATGTAGCCGACCCCATATAGTGGGATAAAGGCTTATTGTTGTTGTTGTTGTTGTTGTAATCATTATGCCTTTGAGTAAATCTAACATTATACTATAACTGCATTAGTTGATCCAACATAATCATAATAGAATGCTAAAATAGAGAGATTAAGTTTAAGATCTCATAGGAAACAAGTTTTTTCTCTGTGAATTAAAAATATGTTAGTTGATTAGTTGTCATGGGTATAAGCTTTCTTAGTCCGTATATGGACCTTGAAAGAAAATTGTTCAGCTCGAAAATGTTCTAGACTTCTAGTAATTCGAGACTATGAGGACGTATTTTCAAATAATTTAAATCCTTGATCGAAAAATATAATTTTTTATAGACGTCCGACGAAGAGTAACTTTAGATAGCTCAGGACCTACAACAAATGTACTAAAAAAATAAAAAATAGCAAGGTTCAATTCAGCATTGGAAATTAACTTTATCTTAAGTTCAACCTAGCAAAGGGAATAAGCAATTCAATCAAGCTCAGATCTCGATACATTGACAATTTGAAATCATATAGTGGGTAGGATCAATCACACATAACGAATAGCATTACCGCCAAAACTATGCACACTATCCTATGTGCATGATATTTTTTATTTATGATTTCTCATATGTTGTGTAGCTGATACAAGTTAACTTGAGTTTAATATGTGTACAACCTTGTACACAGTGAAAGAAAAAAAAAAAAGTTAACTTGAGTTTATAACGTACATAAGAAATTTTTTAACTGAAGAAATAATAACTTTGCAACAAATAGATCCTGGTGATAAAGATTCTCTAGAAGAATTAGACGAACTAGAAACCACATGGGTAGTTGAGGTAGAAACAGGAGCACATACCAAGGTCTTTTAGGCACCTAAGGTAAGCATTTCAAGGATGAAACTTCTTTAAAGATGGTAGATTGTAATTCCCCAAGATCCTAAACAAAATAATATTCATTTGTCAACCAAGAGAAGAAGGCCAATTTGAGAACGTGGACAAAACATTAGGTTGGTTGACTCAATATGGTCAATTTATCACGTGAAATTGAGTCGGTTGTCTTAATTTATGATTAGCCAAATGGTTAGACTGTTTCTAGACTGGGCATAATAGTAAGCCAAGGAGATTAGGAGAGTGTGAAAAATATAATTGAAAAGTATGGGCTCGTATGTGCAAAGTACAACCTTTTTTATATGGTCTCCACTATAAGAAAGCAACTTCGCCCACCATTTTGGCAATAATTGCCCCAAAAATTTTGATTATTTGACAAGTCACTAAAATAGTAGAAATGTAGAATAAAGCAAACACTTAGAATTATGCCATGCACCCAAGCCAATAAAAAGTTGATAGGGATTTCAAAACTATATTTATAACTATTGGATAACCATTGTATCAACAAAAAAGTTGATAGATGAATGCAACTTGTCGATATTTATAACTAATGAATAACATTTGTGTAAGGCACAAGAATTATCAATAGGGAAGAATGCCGGTCTTTTCAACCTTTCCTTGGGACTGTGAGACTACTGCAAGGAGCAAGAGCAAGAGGAGTTTGGTTCGAGATGAGGGAGATTAAAGAGGGAGTGAAGAATTAAATTCCTTCATCAGGCCGTCATGTATTCTACTATGTGGGAACCTTGACTCATAAGTGTAGATTCATTTCCACTTATATGATCTATAATTAATGACGATTCACATAGTATTCTCTCATTGAGTGTGACTTAACATTTTTGTGCATATATATCATAAACCTCCTACACTAACGAGTATTCTATTATCATGTATTACATTATCATATGAAGATAAATTGTGTCAATGAAATCAACATGAGAATAACTAACATAAAGGAATGCCAATGTTATAAATGAATGGTGAAATTTGATGAGTCGAATTTGTTGAACTCACAAGAGAAGGAAGAGGATGGCATGGCTCAAATAACCACAAGAGGTGAGACAACCGTTGAGGCTATTAACATAAAAAATGTACGAACAAGAAACCATGAAATATGACTACTTGGTACTCTTTTTGAGTGGTTCTATGTATTTTGATATGTGAAAAAAAATTTCTTATTGCACATAAGCATTTGAATCTTCACTATTTTATCTTTGCTCATATTGAGTTTTCCTGTAGGTTCTATCAAATATTTCATATGTTATCCAGTGATTTGTCTCCTAATTGTTTTCACCTATCTCCAAGCAATCAATCTGCTAAAGGTACAGATAAGAGAAAGGGAATGAATAAAACAAGTTAGGTGAGAGTTGAATAGATTTGAGGAGCTATTCAGGCTAGTAGTTCTAAGATTCATATTCTAGAGTATAGCAAACACATTTCAACTAAAAACTTTAATTTGGACAAGCACGTTGATGAGGACATCGACAGCTAAGCAAAAGTTCACGTTTCTAATTCTTTAATCTATCTTGCATGATCCACATAAACTTATAAAAGCAAACTTTAACAATTCTCTATTTAATTTCGATCGTAACTCCTAGTAGTTTCACATCACACGTTAATTATAAGTTGAATATTTTTCTTGTAATAATAAGTTTCATTTATCCTTCTTGATTCTCCTGTGATGAATGTTTATCCCTTGAGTCAATGTTTAATCTTCTTTGAATGGAGCCTCTCTTAAATCATTGTTTTTGTGGGCTGAACCTTTTCGCCCAAACTATTTAACTTGAGGGTTGCAGTTCCAAGCCACTGATATCCAAGAGGATTTTATGATGTCCTTCTTGCTCACCCTAGCGAAACTTTTCAACAAGGTTGCAGGTCATGATAATTAGTTTCACAGGTTTAGCAAGTGAAAAGGGCATGCCAAAGGTAAAATAAATCAACATTCAAAATGATTTATGTAGTTAAGTTTAACTTCTCAGGTAGCAACCAACAGTAAGTCAAAACCGAATGAGAAAAAGGAATTCATAAAGCCAAACATAAATATTTGGGATAATGATGGTGATGATTCATACATTGCTACTTATTCTGCATGTTTAATGTCAAACAAAACCATCATAAAACATAACAACCCAACTCTATTAACACTGTAAATTCGAAGTTGCAAAATATCAAATTCACTATCCTATAATACTTCAAGAAAAAAAAAGTTACCTAAACTCTTCTCGTGCATCAGCGTCACAAAAAGAGCATTAATGGCAACATTCAAACTACTGAAGACAGGATGCTTCTAATTTTTCAGATGTTATTTAATAGCAAAAATTCAAAATTGTGCATAAAACTCACAAGTGCCTACAAACTTCAAAAAACAATAAAATGTATGATAAAACACAATCTACATGATACATGCAATCAAAAAGAGGAAAAAAAATTATATCCAAGCCAATCCTTTTGTGCACTGAAGCTACACATGAACTTACCTTTGCTATTGGAAAAGGAACATTAACATATCGTGGCCATTCACGGATCATGTCAAACATTAGCTCCGCCTGCACATGCTTACCAGTTAGAAGGATCTCTTAAACTAAACAAGCAAAATCAGCTTAAAAGAGCAAGTTTTTCTATTTAAACGTCAACATGACACTACAAAATACATGATGCATCAATGTTAAAACCTTGAAAATATACAGGGACTAATTTCACAAAACCAACCAGCTCATGTACAGTAAAGATCTCTGGCCCGCCAAGCTCATAGACTTTGCCCATGCTGCTACCATCATCTTTTAAGGAAGCTACAATAGCACCAGCCACATCTACAACATAAACTGGCTGAATCCTGGAAGTACATTTCATTTGGAATGAAAACACAGATTTTCATCTGATCTCATGAAAGCCCATGATAAATATGTTATGCACTCAGAAGTTGCACTAGTTGAAATCAACAATGAAACAATACTTTCCATACTTTGTAGATCCATCACCAATGAGCGGAAGGAAGCCCCACTTTTTTACAAATTGGGCCCATCTATTCAGAACTCGATCTTCTGTGCCAATAACAGTACTTGGTCTCATAATTGTTGCCTGGAAAATGAGCAAACAAACTTGTAAGTGATAAAAACAGAACCAAAAAGGAAATATCTTTCTTCCTACAAAGGTTTATAAGAACAAAGCTCCCTGAGGAACTCCTTAAACTATCCTACAAAAATTCAGAAGCTTGATACTTCAAAGCTGTGTTAAGTGACTTCAAACTTGAAAAATAAGACTTAATCTTGACAAAGATATAAACAGATATCACTCTCACTCGGCGATTCCCAGTAGAATGTGTTTTTAGAAATTCAACAACAACAACAACAACAACATCAAGCATTTATCACACTATGTGGGGTTGGCTACATGAATCATTTTTTCTCCATTGTGCCCTCTTAAGAGTCAAATTCTAGTTTAAATCTAATAAAGAAATGTCATTTCTAATATTTTCCAACCAAGTCTTTTTAGGTCTATGATGGAACTTGAGTTGCAAAATTCGGAATCCAAGAAAATAGCCCAAAAATAGTGGAAGAAAAGAAGATTGCTTGGATGAAAACACTCACAAACACTTCCTTTAGTCAAATATCAAAAGACTTACAAGTTTCCACGGATACAATGCTCCCAATTCGAGAAGGGAAGCTTTCTCCCAAGCCCTAGAGAAGAAGAAACCTAAAACAGCCACCAAACAAAGATCCTCCAAAAATAAACCCTAACTCCCCTTAAACCCTCACATGATCCCCCCAAAATACCCTAAACACCCCTAGGGCAAACAAAATTCCCTCCCTTATTCATTTGGTGGGCCCCTTGGGCCCACCCGCCCCCCTTCTTTCCCTTCGGCCGACCGCCCAGGCAGGAGGGTTCTCCGCCTGCAGTAAACAAGAGCCGGCCCTTTTTGGGCCGGTGTTGAAGATGGATGGACCGGCTGGTCCGGTCCATCAGTCTACCTCTAACTTTCTTAACATAAGCCAAATCTAATACATCTACTCTCCTAGCCGGGTCATCGGAAGGCCGTCATTTTGTGTGACCAAACCATCTAAGGCAACTCTCTCTAATCTTATCTTCCACTAGAGCTACTCCAACCTTTTCATGTATATGCTCATTTCATATCCTCTCTAAGAGTAAATCCACTCATCCACCTGAACATCGTCATCTTTGCAAGACTGCAAAACTTAACTTAATATTATGCTTCTCTTTTAATTGCCAACATTCTGCACTATAAAGCATTGTAGGTCTCACCACCATCTTATAGAATTTTCCCTTAAGTTTGAGGGGCATTTTCTATCACAAAACAAGCCCAATGCATTCCTCCACTTCAACCATCCAACTTGAATTCTACTATTAATATCCCCATTTATTTTACCATCACTCTGAATAATAGACCCAAGATATCTAAAATGTGTATTCTTATTAATGACTTGATCGCCCAAAGTCGCAATCTCACCACTGGATCTATTACTACTAAAATTATACTCCATATATTCCATTTCAGATCTACTCAAACGAAAACCTTTAGATCCTAAGGTTGACCTCCAAAATTCAAATTTGCCTTCAACACCCTCTCTAGTCTTATCAACAAGAAGAATATCATCAGTAAAAAGTATACACTATGGTACAAACTCTTGCAAATGTCTAGTGAGAACAACCATGATTAAAGCACAAAGATATGGGCTTAAGGTTGATCCTTGATGTAATCCAACTGAAATAGGAAAACACTTGGTCAAACCACCTGTGTTTGAACACAAGTAACAGCTCTTGCATACATATCCTTAATGACTTGAATATAAGCATTATTAACCCCTATCTTTTCTAGAACTCTCCACAGCACTTACCTTAGAACTTTATGTATGATTTCTCTAAATCAATAAATATCATATGTTGATCCTCCGTATTCCCTCTATATTTATCCATCAAAACACTCAATAAATGTATAGCTTCCATCGTATACCTATCTGTCATTTAAAGAAATTCATTGTAAGAAAATTTTCAACTCATCTTAAGTACATATTTTACTACCAAATAAGGTTTTTTATTCTGCGCATTTTAGCCAATGAAATATATAGCGCACAATTCATATCACAAAAGTAAAGCATATGTATAAAAAATAATAATAATCTTGATTAAGTAAAAAAATAACATGAACATAATGTTTCAGTGTTGATTACAAGATTAATGACAAACGTTGACAAAATAAATAAATATCAAATTTATGCATGCGAAAAACTCAAGATAGCATATATGCCTACTATAATCTTAAAAATCCTTGAAATATTAATATTCTCACATAAACAACTAAGTTCTTGAATTGGCCAGGCAGGAAAGGATAGACACAAGCCGCGTACTTAGTGAGGTTCTAGAAGAGATAAAACACATATTTAACACCAAAAGTTGCTTTGTTAATGTTTTCATATGTTGTGTAATACGAAATAAAAGCATTGCTGCTCACATATAGGTTACACAAGCTTTGGATGCATTGTAAATGGTTATTAAGTGGGGTGAATAAACAAGATCGATATTTCCACTGTATGTTTAGAAAACAAATAAAAATGTGGTACATGCTTTGAAAAGCAATACATTCCAAACCAAAGCCTAGATCCACATCTAGGCCCTAAGACACTTATTTTTCAGTCCAGGCCATCAATCATTAACTTGCTAGATTTTTATAGTTTACTCTTTGGAGGTACGAATGCATATAAAGCAAAAGGAAAAAAAATCATCATTCCTGATTTACTTCAACGACAAGTCTCAGTAAAAACACTATTTAGAAGCTATATGAGTAAAGTAAAAAATAGGAATCATAAAAGTTTTTTTTTTTTTTTTTAATTTACATACATATTTAAAAAACAGAAAACAGAAGTGAATCCAAACATGACCTTAGCATAGCAACACCCATCCATATGCATCCTTGAAAATCTTGAATAATAGAATTCAAGCTCATGAATCCGCCATTCAAAAGCTAAAACTTTCCATTTGTAAATACTACTTATTTTCAGCAATCCAAGTGCAGCTAGTCAAAATATATTACTAGGATGAACAAAGACTTCATTAAAACTCAAACCTATAAACACTCCATTCACTGATTGTGCTTTTGAAAGAACAATGCACAGGTAAACAAAAATGCATACATGCACATATGCACACCTGCTTTCAATGGTAGAAATTTAAGATAATTAAGAAAAGAGATGACCTCAGGAAAGACTCGAAGCACAGATTCTTCAGAGGCAGCCTTTGTTCTCAACATTCTAGAAGGAGATGAAGCAGATGCTCCTAAGCATGACATTTGAATGAATCTCATTATGCCACCATGTTCTTTCGCAATCTGTGAAATTCGATCAAAAAGTAGCACATCCCATAAAGGAATTCAGCAAGATTTACAAATTTACATTGCAAATGGAGAATCAAATAACCAAGCAAATCAACAAAGAAGAGGAAACTCTGAAGCACAAAATGATGTGAAGCTATCATAAAAGATAGTTTAACATATGAATTATTTTCATCTAAAACAACCACTTATAGCAAAAACAAAAACAAAAGCCATCCCAAACAGTTCACACAAGTTACTAATCAGCAAAACTCAAATGCTCTTGATGTCACTGCAGTGTGTTCTCTAGGCACTACAAAACTGTTTGGAGCATTATTATTACATAGGGTTATTGAAATAATAAATTTACCATAGTTCAGTTAGATGTTACAAAGAAGAATCTTAGAGAAGTTTAAGAAAAAACTGTGTGCTAGAGTAGCTTCAAAAGCCAACTAAGATTAAATACTCCCTAATTTAATGTTAGAAAATTGATCCGAACATGCATAGAACAGTTTTAGGTGACAATTTCAATCTTATCAATTACGCAAGGGTGCAAGAAAGATATATAAATTTGTGTCACACAAAACCTCTTGGGTTCACGTTGCTCTCTAGTTTGTACTTTTTTCAAACATACAATGACCGAATATCAAGCGAAAGTACAAGATAATTGTGGATGAAGTGTCCATCAAGGATGTATGGACTCAGATGAAGATGTCTCCACTCAAATTTTGGGCATTGTGGGAGAATACTACTGCTTGTGATTTAGGCTTTCCAAATTTGGTTGTTGGACTGGTCAGCCTCTTTGCTATCCATTTTAGGGGATTGAGCCAGGTTGTTGTCGTCTGAGTAGTGATGTGCTAGAGTCAATTGCAATCTACAAGCCATAAGAGATCTCACCTGGCTAGGCTTACGATAAAAACTCTCCAGGATGACTGGTGATGGTGGGTCATCAATGAGATTGAAAAACACAGAGCACTTCTTGGCCTAATTTGGCCTAGAAGCCTTCCTAGTTCCTGACTCAAGCTCAATAACTTTTTAGTCTAACCGAGTTGTTGACTCGATGTACTCACTAAGTGGTTTGCCTCACAGGATCGAATAGAGTCCTCTACATTCAAGTAATAAATGGGCAAAGTCAATTGTGATATCCAAGCCCTGCAAGTTCTTAATCCATATTATCCGACAAAGATTAGCTCATGATTATGTCCTACAATGAAAACTCTTCGAAACAAAAGACTAGTCATTAATGCGATTGACACCGCACAGAGGGCCTCATATCTCAGAACATGTTGTAGCCCTTAAAACTTTGCTTATCCATCCTGAGTATCTAAGACCCAAATACCATGCTCGAGTGCCAACAACCTAAAATTCTTTTTAGATTTGAATAAAAAAATGCTTCAAAACATTACCTCAGCATATTGATACAGAGCTAAGCTGATGACTTATGAGTTCATTCTCACTAGCTTTCCCAATGAAACAGAAAGGGATAAGCCGCACATGTAGTTTTTTTCTTGTCTCTTGGGAGTTGGGACTTGATAATCCTTGGGATGAGCCATGAGTTCTTGATTCCACTAGAACGCCATTCAGATCCCCTGCTTAAAGCGGGTTACAGATGGTGATCATGCACGAAAATTAAATACTTATTATCTATTGAAAAAGATATAAAATTGAACCTTTCCTCATTTCACAAGTAGCACCATGGGTCATTTGTGCTTTCATATGCAGTTGAAGTTCTAGAGAAGATTGTTCATTTCCTTGTTCTTAATAACTACTATCTAGGTAATGACTACTTGTTGATGAAGGGATCGCAGCCATTGGACATCAGTTGGTCAAAGCCTTTGTTGAGATTACAGTAACACTTTTTACTCTAACTTTCGACTAGGTCTAATCTCCATATTCAAAAGGACTAATTTAAATCAATCATCCCTAAGCTCTTGAACTAGGGTTATGATAGTAGCTGGGCAGTTCCATTCAGACTCCTTTAGGTTGAGCCAAGCCAAATAATTATCCAAAAATGCCTAAACAATGTTAAAGAGTCCATAATCAAATATTTGATAATTATTAAAGATACACATTAATATTTTATTTACAAACAAAATGTTACTTTATTTGGTATTTTAGATCTCCAACAAATTAATGAGCACTACAGAATTTATAGAATACCATCAATATAATTAGATCCAATTATCCTATCAAATCAAATTAGTCTCAAGAAGACCAAAATTTAATCCATTAAAATATTTAGGTGGAAACTATGTAGCCATGATCAACTATTTATACATGAAAAATTCTTGGTGGGCAAGTATCGAGAAAGAAAAAAAAAAGATTAAAACTTTCTAGAAAATACATCATTAGTATGAAAATTTTGCATCTTCTTTATATTTGTACATAAAGTTTGTCTTATCACAAATTTAACTTATTTAGAACATGCCAAAATAAGTTGTGCACAATTACACTGATAATTTCTTTAACATTTTTTTTCATTTATCTAAATGTTAAGAGCTATAATATTAAAAGCAATAGAGAAAAAAACAAAAATAAGATCTTGATGAGGTGAACAATATGGACCAAATATTTCCTTGGTATGAATAAGATTATGTCTGATTTAATGTCTATAAGCAAAAGTGAAGTTGGTTGGTAGAAGAAAAAAAAAATTTATCATTCTTCAAATTGAATTGGAGGGATAAGTAATGGATTTATCACAGTATCAAAGAACTTATATAGACTTTTCAGCTCATCGCCATCAAAAATAATGAAAAGTATTGTTTTAGGAAAAATCCAAGCTCTGCATACTTTTCAAACCAAAAAAAAAACTCAAAAACATTCAATAATTGTTTTTCATTCGAGCATGACATAGATGATGGAAATAGAGCTGATTAGCATGAATACATACCACTGCCAAATGTTCCGCCATTGAATGGTGTACTTCTTCAAAGCTATAGTTTCTGGTCTCATATTCCCTGCCTAAATGTTTATAACTGCATTAATCAAGCATGACCCAAGTTCTCATGCTAAACCTTTGCAAAGGAGAAATGACAAGATGTACGAACCAATGAGATTAAGAACAATATTTGCCTTAGCCATCACAGCTTTAATTGACTTCTCATCTCTTGGATTGTACTTCATTGGTACTATCTAGTACACAATTTTTCAAAGCAGGAATTAAGATTAACACCTTTAATATGCACGATGAAATAAAAAAAAGTGGACAAAACGTTAAAAACAAACTTTATCAGAAAATAATACCTGTCCTAAATCACCCATCAACTTGAGGTGCCTATGGGAATCCTCAGAACCTCTAAAAGGTACCAAAACTTGAGATCCCATTTTAGCTGCATCAGCAATAGGAATAAAGGTTTAAATAACCATCTATGATTAATATACATGATGAAATTATTGGCATTTCAATATCTTCACCTGTGGCACAGGCTTACAATTAAAGCACGCTCAGAACAAAAAAATTGTTCTTCACAATCTAATGACCATTATTTAACATAAACAATGCGTACTATCCCCTCTATTTAGAAGGTATCAATTATACGAGCTCCACGGCGCAATCCTCCAGAAGTGACTATTATTTATGGCTTCCAGACATATCAAAGCGTACCAGTAGCTACAAGCCTACAACTTACCGAGCTGCTGAACAACATAGCGACCAAGAAATCCAGTAGCTCCAAACACAGTCGCAACAATGCCACTACCAGAGAAGTAACAAACCAATCAATCAAGAAATCAAAGGCCAGAACGAGTGTATAACCTAACACCTCCGGATGAACCAAATAAGCTTAGTTCAAACAGTGCATACCAAGAACTTACAAATAATAGCTTTTTTCAACCCCTAACAAAATGAAAGGAGAAATATCAACAGAAAGCCCAACCTACCTAACAGACGATCTCCCTCCAGTACCCTTGCGGACAATATTACCGGCGCCCTTGATGGAAACGGTCGACACATTGCGAATAGAATCGACCCAATAGCCTACTCAGTATTGGAGAAAAGAGCATGAACGAAAAGCAAATTCGTTAATAGGCAAGTAATCGCAGGAAAAGAGAAACCCTTGAAAAAACGATGACGATAAGAAGTTCACCGGAAGAGAGAGGGTAGGTGGATCTGGAGGAAGACGAAAGCGACGAGGGGTTAAGCAGTCGTTTCCCCGATCGCCTCAAACACGCTTCCATATTTCCTGGTAGGCTGCACAACGAGAGAGAGAGAGAGAGAGAGAGAGAGAGAGGGAAGAGAGACAGAGAGAGAAGGCTGGTCGTCCGGTTCGAAATATTTTATCACGTCGGACACCGATGGAGCCCATTTGTTTGTAAGATTGGGCCGCTTAAAATTTTAAATAATTAAATTTAGGGTCAACCAAATTCTAATTCTAATAAATTTCTAGTCAAATTGAACATATCAATGAGATGAACACATCAACACTACAAGTAATCTATGATTTGATCCAACTCGAAAAGAACTAAAATTAAATACTTTAAATATATTTAAAAGCTTCAGGATATTGATCGAGAGACTAAGGCTTCGTTTGGGACGGCTTTTTTATTGCTTTCTAAAACGGAATTTTAGTACAAAAATAATAAATTTTGTACTAAAACTCCGTTTTAGAAAGCAGTAAAAAAACAGTCCCAAACGAAGCCTAAACAATCTCCAAACTTGCGTGCTTATAATCAAATCGAACAATTACTTCTCAAGTGGTTATTTTTCATACTTTTGGGTTTAATGTTATCACTACTTTTTATATTATCTTTGCAAGTTCATTCAAGCCCATAGTAAGTATTGCCTTTAAATATGTTGCATAGGTTTGGCATACCTATGGCACTTGAGAAAGTTGTAGCCCCTTCATTTTGATTTGATAGAACTGTTGACCTCTTAGACGATCATCCTCGTGATCCTTAGGTTCTTCATTTTTAGTATCTGAGATATATACTAGAATAAACCCTCGATTCTTTAGCAAGGACCAAAATATTTTCAGACTATTTAAAAGTTTCATTTTAGGCATTGGTTTTTTTTTTTTTTAATAGAGACCTAAATGATCCTAGGGAATGATTAAATTGGTCGATATTTAAAATATCAATGGAACAAATTGATAATTTTATATAAATGAGGACTTTTTATTCTTTAGGAAAAATTAGATGCTCAATTCGATCATGTTCTCATTATTGTCCTAAGATTTTATGTTCATTTCATTTTCAATTTATCGCTATAATTATGTTGACCCATTGTTTCCAAAGATCATATTTTAATTATAAATGTAAGTATTGAATTTTATCTATGTTACTCCATAACTCATATTGATATAACTTTTTGTAAAGGTGATTGTAAAGTAATTTAATGAACAAACTGTTGTAAAAAGCAACTTTCTAAAATTAAAATTTCTTAAAAATGTAAAAAAAAAAAATTGTTGCCAAATAAAACCTATGATATTTTCTGAAAAAATAAAACAATAAGAAAACGGTCTCAAAGAAAGCTTTAATGGAATCCAAAGATTGTGCAGTCACCACTTGGCATCGAAGAAGTGATGATTGGTGCGTGGTGAAAGATAAAATGTTAGGTTTGAGCACCATATGTGGAGCTATGTGATCAATATGATAAATTACGGGGGTAAAATATAACTATCCTAAATTATTTATAGGCCCCTTGTTAGATTATTTAACTTTTAGAACTATTTAAACATTATTAAATTATAAAATTTTATTATTGGGATCCTAAAAAAAAAAAGTTACATAATACTTAACTTCAGACAATTCTCATTAATTTACAAATAAAAAACATGGCACATATTTAATACATAAAAAATAACATTAACATAACACTCAATTAACTTCCTTCATTTATCTTCGCTCTCATAACCCTCAACAACGAAAAAGAGCAAGGATATAACAGACGAATCGCGCTAGGATAATGAAGAGATAGCAAAATATTGTTGGAACAACAAAGAGATTATGAAGTTAAGACGAGATGTTGCTTGGATGACAAAGAGAAAGGGAAGTCGTTATAGGAAAGAGCATCTACGGGACCAACATGCTTGCGAAGGACAAAGAAAATTTAGAGAAGTATCAACTAGATCTTCCTACCAAAAGGCTAAGGCTTGGTTTGAGACAGCTTTTTTGCTGCTTATTAAGGCAGTTTTTTAGTTCAATAATTAAAATTTTTGTATTAAAAAGTTTATTTAAAAAGCAATAAGAAAGTGATCCAAAACGAAACCTAAAAGTCATTTTTTGCCAATCTCATTGTTATAGGCACTTATCCTTTCATATCTCTACCTTAGTAAACTTCATTATATTATCATTTTAAAGCTTCCTATTGTTAGATTCAGCATCTCAATCTTTATTTTCTTCTTTTGAAATGTTTGAATTTAAGCTCTTTTTTTTTTTAAATTCATTTACCTCATCAAGCTCTCTTTTTTTGGGAATATCACAAAGCTCTTCTACTCAGTCTAGCTTTTGTGGTCCTTGTCCCACCAAAGCCAAGGCTTTGTCCACATCAGTGATTGATATCTATCTAAAGTTTAGGAGTCCAAATTGTTTCTTCTTTCAGGTCCTATATTTTCACTTAGCTAAACTATAGTAGGATACACCAAATCTAACCTGGAAGTAAGAAGAATATAAACAGCATGTTTCTCACACGCTCTGAGCTAAGGTTCTCTATCAAATTTGATTTCCTTCTATTTTTACTCTCCTGGGTACAGTTTATAAATATTCTGAATCAGCGAGAAATTTCTGACTTCACTGAATTAAAGAAGTTGTAGAAAAAAGGTAAGATTTGACAGAGATTTGATTGTTCTAGGAATAGAAGCCTTTTGCGCTTGCTTTACATATGGGTTTTAGCAGCTCAAGACTGATAAGATTTTAGGAGTTGAGGTTCTTTTTTATCTATTAAGTTGCTGTTCAAAGAAATTCAGAATCTGTCTGAAATTTCTAACTGTTCTGATTTAAAGAAGTGATGCTTTAAGGTAAGATTTGGAAGAGATTTCGATATTCTAAGAACAGAAGTGTTGTTATTCTGAAGAGGACTTCAGTCAACAGTGTTGGAGAATAAGCAAAATTTAATGAAGCATAGAGAAGGGAAAGAACATAAGTAGAAAAGAAAATAAACAAACAGGAACTTCGAGCAGCTACACCCAAGATGATTACGTCCTAATGTTGTCATTGCAGATTTTATTGTAGAGAAAGATATAACCTTAAGTATAATATTAGTGGACGAGAAAATAATCAAAATGGTTCATCAATTCTTTATGAGAGACCAAAATGACCTCCAATTATTTTGAGGGACCAAATTGATCCCTCAGCTCCTCTAAATGTACTTTTTTGATTTTGCGTTCAATTTTAAATGAAAAAGTGAGATGGGCTCGAGGGTATTATTGGTATTATCAAATGTTTTTTACGTCCTTTTTTTTTTAAGAAAATTGGATCGATCATAACTAAAGTTTCATTTTGGAACAACTTACTATTTTATGAAGAAGTTTCTTGGTATTAAAATTCTTTAATTTGAAATTTTTGTATTAAAAAATTGCTTCATAAAGTAGTGAAAAATAGGTCCCAAACTAAGCCTAAGTCTATATAATATATTTTCTTCCTAGAATGAAGATCTGGATCCCCAACTTAAGAGATAATAACAACAATTTATCCAATAGATGAACTCATATTGTGCTTATGCAAGAATAGAGCTTATATTAATGGAGAAATTATTATGTGCGGACGTCGAACACAATCTGGACTCTGGAGACCAACTAAAATGCACCACATCACTCTTCGCTCGGTACTGCTCAGTACCACAGTTTGGTACGCTAACGTGGATGCACCTAATTGACCTCCGAATGTAGAGATGTATTCGACGTCCGCACAGAATAATTTCTAATACTAATGATGACGCCCTCACTCAAGGTTGCTTCCTGGCACACAACAAGGCACTCTAACAACAGAAAAAATCATCACTATTCATTGAAATTTAAAAGATTGACGCAAATGAACTTCTCGATCATCATGGTCTATCGATTAACCAGCATTCTTATTGTGATCGAGCAACGAAAGTCGGTCTCTTGGAGAACTTTCAAATACCTCATTAGAGTGCGTCACCTCTAAACATACAAAAGCAGAAGCTAGCCCATAACACTTACAGAGACCTATCAAAAGGTCAACAAATAGAAAATATAAAATGAAAGATTGGTCAAAACAAAGGCTTACTATTTAAACAAAATTATAATGGGAAGAACGCAGATTACAGTTCACTTATGGACTAATTATGTATTTTTAGTTTATTATAGAATTATCACATACTTCGAGTTCTGAGGGCTAAACATCTCGTCAAATTGTATAAAAAGAATTTAAGCTTTGTTCGGGACAATTTTTTGTCACTATTTTATGACTTTTATGATAGAGGCTTAAGCAGCAACTACTAAGTCATAAAGCCTAAGGTTTCGTTTGTGACGACTTTTTTGTTGCTTATTAAAGCAGCTTTTTAGTACAAAAATGAAAATCTGTATATTAAAAAGTTGCATTAAGAAGCAACAAGAAAGTCATTCCAAACGAAGCCTAATATTTGTCATAAGAAGAAAAAATATATATAAACTTAAGCTTCGTTTGGGACAGTCTTCTTACTGCTTCTTAAAGCGGCTTTCTAGTTAAATTTTTTTAATTTTGTACTAGAAAGCTGCTTTAAAAAGCAGAAAAAAATCGTCTCAAATGAAGCCTTAGTCACGACCATCCTAACTACATTGTCTCTATTGGCCTTTAAAGAGGGGCCAGAGCTCTAGAAAGACATTCAATATTTGTGATCATTTCATTACGAGTAATTTATGAATTTTGTCATATTTCACTTATCATTGATTTCTGTATTAGAGCGGAGAGAGAGTGTAGCATATTTATATCTTAGAAATTAATGTTATAATTCTCTACAATAATTAGAAAAATTGTAGTGATGATAGCTTGATATCATCACTTTATTCAACTTGTAAAAAATTCTTATATATTTTTATGCATGGATCTTCTATTTTATTACTATTTTATGTTGTTTCTTTATATATTTAGATAATTTTTTTCTATTTCCCAACATCAATCACTAGAGAAACAAGAAAGACAACTTCATAGCTATTTCTAAAATTTGAAAAGTACCCCCTAATCATTTTGATTTAGAGGGACCCTCCCAAGTACAAGCACAACTCAAGTGCAAGTGAAAATCTCCTATTTATGAGAGATTATTACTTGCGGAGTTTGGGTCGGAGAACCATCCAATTTTTGTGAGTGTGCATAGTTTCTCTTCACCACTTAGCTTTTACTGTGCACAATCACAAAAATTGGATACAGCTTCGATACAAATTCCGCACATAATAATCTCTCCCTATTTATAACACCCCCCATCCCCTCTCCCTCCCCCTCTCCACTATAACCCCCTTCCAAACCCTCCCTAGCTCTATACTATCAACTACAAAGTATTTGATCATGTCCTCCACCTTCAATACCAACCATCTCTTCAAAAGAAGAAATATATTTGTCTCCGGCCCAATTATCATCGGCGCCGGACCCTCCGGCCTCGCCGTCGCCGCCTGCCTAAAATGCCAAAACGTCCCCTTCCTCCTCCTTGACCGCGCCAACCGCCTCGCCTCTCTATGGCAAAACCACACATATGACAGACTCAAACTTCACCTTCCCAAACAATTCTGCCACCTCCCAAACTTCCCTTTCCCGAAAAACTTTCCTCAGTATCCAACCAAAAACCAGTTCATAAACTACTTGGAACTATATGCTAAGGTGTTTCAGATAAAGCCACAGTTCAATGAAGCCGTTATATCTGCAATATATGATGACAAGCATGGAATGTGGATAGTAAGGTCTGAAAAAGCAGAGTACAATTGTGAGTGGTTGGTGGTGGCTACTGGAGAGAATGCAGAGTGTGTGGTGCCGGAAATCGAAGGGTTGCCGGAGTTTTCAGGGGAGGTGAAACATGCTTCCAGTTATAAGTCCGGCGAGGTTTATAAGGGGAAGAAGGTGGTGGTGGTTGGATGTGGAAATTCAGGAATGGAAATTTGCCTTGATCTTTGCTTGCATGGGGCTTTTCCATACATGGTCGTTCGAGATTCGGTAAGTTTTGTTTTGTGTATAATTTAAATTATTAGTTCTGAGCAGCTCTACAATCTTCTCTTCATAAATTGTTTCTTCTTAACAGGTTCATGTCTTACCAAGGGAAATATTTGGGAAATCTACCTTCGAAATGGCTATAACCATGATGAAATGGCTGCCCGTGAAACTAGTTGACAGGATTATACTGACATTGGCATGGTTGGTGCTTGGAAACGTAGAGAAATATGGATTAAAAAGGCCAAATATAGGGCCTTTTGAGCTGAAGAATACAAAGGGAAAGACGCCTGTTTTGGATACTGGAACATTGAAGAAGATAAAGTCTAATGAGATTAAGGTGATTCCAGGAATCAAGAGGTTTAGTCATGGAGAAGTAGAACTCGTCTGCGGAGACCAGCTGAATGTTGATGCAGTTATTCTAGCCACTGGTTATAGAAGCACTATTTCATCATGGTTGCAGGTAAATGAGATTAAGGTCATCTCCAACCAAAAATTCCATTTTTCACTCAAAAAATGTAATGTAACTAAAAAATGTCCTGAATCATCTCCAATTGAACTCCATTTTGCTTGCTTCTGCGAAGGTAACCGTTTTCTCCTCTTTGACGCGTTTCTTCGGCAAATCCGATTGAAACAGAAAAATCGCGTAGGTGAACAGTGCGACGTAAATATTGGCGTCGCATTGTTCACTCTCCACTGATTATCCAGTTTTTTGCCGGTCGAATGGAGCAAACTAGCCATGCCTTACAGTCGTTTGGAGTTCGGCTGGAGACGCCCTAAGAGCTGTGCTCCTGTTGTAGGCGTCCATTTTCGAGAGCCCAAAGGAGGATTTTATGATGCACGAACGTGAGATACGAACACGATGTGGTCTATCATTAAAAAATGCATGACCCAAATTAAAATTATTATCTAATAAATAGATAAATTAAATAAACATCAAGCACAATAGCACATACAATCTAATTTATAAAATAAATATTTTTATCCGTCTATAAAATAAATAAATAATTAGCATTGTAAAGAAAAAAGTTTATTTTTCTCTTCTTATTTTGTCAGGAAACTGGTGGCAAGTCCACTGATGCTCCTAAAGGCTGGAAAGGAGAGAATGGACTCTACTTTGTTGGCTTCACAAGGAGAGGGATCGCTGGTGCTTCTCTTGATGCAATTAGAACAGCAGAAGATATAGGAAAAATCTGGAGAGAAGGGAGGAACCAAGCTAAGAAGTTCAAGCCTTTTCATATAAGATGTAACTCACAACTATGATGACATAAGCTTTTACTTTGCCTTTTATAACATTTTCATTTGGTTTGAGGAAAAAGAGTAGGAAGAATGGTCAAGGAAGTGATGAACAGCTCTTTCTCAAATGGTTTTAGCCAAAGTTTTACAAGAAAAATGAATGGGTTTTATCAGTTTTATAGGAAGGTTGGTGATGTTTAAGCTTTCATTTTTCTTTCTTCTGTTCCTCCTTTATGTTAACTGTAGTAAAACTTGATGTTGATTTGGTGGTTGTTGAGGCGGTTTTTTTCTTTATTTATTTGTTGTATTCATAATTCTACTATCAATTGCAATTGATATGTCACAGAATAATCATCTTGATTGGGCATGAATCTCAATGCAAATCTGGATTAAAAACTTTGAAATTAAATTTGGGATCATCCAAACTCCAATCTCATCAAGTTTATTGTCAAATCGAACATCTCAAGTATATGAACAGAATGACTCCAAATTTAGAGTCCAATTCGAGCCGCCCAAATGAGCCCAAATCGAAGGATCATAACCTATATGAAAGTTTCAGAGCATTAATTGGAAGACCAAATAATATTTAAATATGATATGATTATAGTTGAATCGAGCAGCTCGACGACAATAATCCAACGAGCCCAAGATCGCCAAACTCTCACATATTTAAGGCACCTAAATATTGATAAACGCTATATGATCAAGGGGACTAATATCAACTGTCCAACAGAATAAGGACAAAAATATCACCCTACTCACTCTCGATTATAGAATCTCATGGAATTCAATCCCTTGAACTTGCCATCATCTGTCTGCCCAACCTGTCATCACCCTTACTCTATCAACCTCATCGCATGATTACTCTATGTAGGTTCGTCACACTGCCCCTATTATGATCCTTATTCATCTGGTGATCCATTGTCATAGCACCTTCAACCTCCTCCTAGTCATGCTCCCGCATCTCAGGATGATCGATTGAGACTTTCAATTTATCATCAAAACCCATTGAGATTTAGGGTTGTTGGTGGGCGACCACGACTAGGAACCCCTCATCTCGTGTTTGAATCCCCTCTACTACTGCCTCACCTATTTAGTTAAGCAAAGCAAGTGTGGGCCTGATGCCGGTGGGTGACATCGTTCGATTACGCCACCAAACACTCTCTTTGGAATGACATCGAGAAAATATCTCGTTCCAAAAAAATTATCATAAAGAAATTTGTTAAGATCATTAATAAAGTAAAGGGAAAATTTTAAGACTAAGCATGATTATTAATTGAATTAAAAGCTTAAGCATGTTTTAAAATATTTTAAAAAATAGTCAAAATCGACCGTCAAAAATTCAAGTTTGACTAGAATAGTCAATATCCAAAGTGGCGATGATGTGACAAGTTTTGAGATTAAGTCGTCCATTTAATGGGTGATTAATAAGTCGCTCGTTAAACGGGCGACTTAAATTTGATACTTTAATTCCAAAAACCCTTCCCGATCTCATTTCCATCGCTTTCCTCTTTCGCAGCCGTTTCCATTGGGACGTTCGGAGTCGTCGATCTAGCCACCAAGTGTTTAGGTAAGGGTTTTTTTATTTTATTTAAATTTAATATTTACGATTTATTATGTATAGTATTTGAGGTGTTGTACATATTTGGTTAAAAATTATCCTATTTGAGTCTTTTTAGTTTATTTCTCAAAATTTTTTGGTAGATATATTAGTTTGTCTAATTTAGTTGGAGTTAGTTGTATTATTATTTGAGATAACTAGAGATAAGTTGACCAAGGACATATATTTTGTCAAATACTTGATAGATCTGAAGTAGTCGGATATGGTTTCTTCGGAACTAAGTGATCTACTGTCGGGTGTGACAAATAGGCAAAATCTATGTATAATCTCAAACAGGCATGCAGGTTTCTTCGGCAACTAAGTGAGCTACTATGGGGTGTAACAAACAGGCAAAATCTATGTATAATCTCAGACAGGCATGCAGGTTTTGTTAGAGGTTGTAGGGAAATTTTCCCTAATGCAGCTCATCGACATTGCTTACGGCATTCACGAGAGGATTTCAAAAAAGCAATACGTCAGATGGCAAAGAAACTGATTAGAAAAAAATTTATTTTTTTTAATTGATAGGGGTACGTGCGACTTACTATTATCCTATTTTAAATGTTTAACAATGATCAAAAATAAATTTAATTTGTTTTTTTAAATGACAAGGGTAAGTCGTCCGTTTAATGAGCGACTTACTATTATCCTATTTTAAATGTTAAACACTGATCAGCAATAAATTAAATTTTTTTATAATGACAGGGATAAGTCGCCCATTAAACGGGAAAATTATTATTATCACCATTTTACCATCATCTGCTCGCTCACTCTAACGGACAGCTGACTCAGCTAATCCTAGTCAGCATAAGTCGCCCTTTTAACAGACGATTTTGCTTATTCTTAATTTTTTTAAAACACCATTAAGCTCTTAATACAATTTATAATCATGCTTAATATTAAAATTTTAGCTAAAGTAAATAGAATATTATATATATTGAATGTTATATAGATAAATCAGCTATTTCAGTTTTTTATTATTATTATTATTATAAAATGAGCAGTTTAACAATATTATTTCTTACAAAATTGCATTAACTCAAATGCAGAATGAGCATTTTGCTGCCTGTTATATTCCACAGCTCTCTTTCGTACTTTTCCGACTCGGGATTTGGTGATTGCTTTACTGATGAGAGAAGCGCACTAAGCTGATAGATCCGATCATTGCTATAAGCCTATAATTTGGTGAGCTTCACTTTCTTGCCGGCGGCGTTCAGGTTCCGAAGTAAGAAACCCTATTTTTGTATTCTGATCGCCTGTGATTCATGGATGGGTTGCCATGGTGGAGGATGAGATTCTCATATCGGAACGCAACTATTGTCGTCTGCTTCCTTAATGTCGTTGCGGCTACCTTCCTACTCCGGGGATTCTTTAGCTTCGCCGACAAGAGAATAGCCCGAGCTAACCAACCTAATCTTGGTGAGTAATCAGTCATCGGTGTCTCCTTTTACTTTACAAAGGCTTATATGCAATTATGCAAAGTGCTGTTGATTATTTGGTAGTTTAATACCGCGGAACGTTGAATTAGATGAATATAATACGTGCGAGATTTATGGTTGGAATCGGATAACATTTTGCTTATGGGCTATGCTGCTATGTTAGTCGAGTGCGATACCGTGCATGTGAATACCAAAAACTGTAGTCATAAGACCATTTTGTAGGTTTTTCTATTTACATAAATACCAAGTATATTAGTATTGACATATGTATAATGTTTCTCTTTTTTTAATATTTCAGAAGTTAACAAACGAGCAAAAGAATGAAATCATGAGCACTCTGCTGTATTTTTCTTATTTTGTAAGAACAATGTTGAAGTTGCAACATTTTTAGGGCAGGAAACAAAACAACAGGTTGTTTGGCAAGATGCGGTTCTCAATTCTTGGAGCCTAAAATATTTTCTTCTAATGAGATTCCTCCTTATCTCAAAGGTTTGTGAGGATGGATTTTTGGAATCGTCCTAATTACCGTTTTTCCTACATTTGTTTCCTCGCAACAATCATTCTTTGAGCATGTTGTATTGTATTCGTGAGATGCTTGCAAGTCATGTTCCCTGTTCGGATCTTTACATTATATTGTTGTAATCCTTTTTTATTGCAATAAAATATTTTCATATGGTTACAAGAAAAAAATTCCAACTAGTTTGACTCTAACTGGATAAGTTCCTGCTCATAATCACACTAATCTTCATCTTATTTATTTTTGGTGGTTTGATAATTGCCTCCTTTGCCATTTAATTTAAATATTCACTTTGTCATTTTATGCTAATGAAACATAATATGCTTACGTATCCAATCATTTGCTCACTGGCCCATATCATTTGTTATGGGTGTCCGAAAGGATGCTGCACGTGAGGGATAAAATTTTACTAAAATTTTTGAAATTAAAATTAAAATTAAAATCATTATTTTTATTTTTTTTTTGAAAAATTATAATTACTTGAAAATTATATTTAATAAATATTTAATTAAAAAATGACTAGAATACTCTTATATTTAACACCATTAACTTCAGCATTGGATGTTAGGATAAAAAATGTCTCATTTTAAAGAGTCGAGGGACCAAATTGGTCTCTCAAAGAGTTGGGGACCATTTTGATCCCTCACAAAGAGTTGATGAACCATTTTGATCCTTTTCTATTATATTATCATTGCTTCTAACAATTAGAGAAAATCCTAACACAAAATTCATAGAAAAATTAACCCATAGAGCATGTCAACTTCTTGTTTAATAGTTTTGCCCATTTAGCATGCATAATACTTACAATCCTTGCAATTTTTCTTTATAATGAAATTCAATAAATCTAAACCTACATTCAAGAAAATGTATAATTTTTATCTTCACCAAAGCTACCTATCTTGACACTAACATGCAACACATGATTACAAAGAGATGTCTTGAGAATGTATAGTCTACTACATTTATAAAAATATTCTTTTCAACTGTAGATGTAGCAAAAGGAATGCATGACATATCGTTATGCTTGTTATAAACCAATTGGAAATTAGGTGAAGTTCTTTTCTTGAATTATGTTAAAACCTAGTACATTACCATGCAAAGAAGTTAATTGTAGGCAAACTTTGGATAGTATTTTTGAAGATTTATTTTGAATGACTGTGAAGTTCTTTGTAATCTTAAAGGTACACAAGATATTTTAAATGTATAATCCTAATGGTACTCAAGATATTTTAAATGTATACTACCCAATTTATTTTGGGTGTATTATCCCACTGTGGAAGCTTGGTGATAAAAAGTGATAATAAATTACTTTGATAGTAAATAATGTCATATATAAAGCTTGAATTAGATTATAAAATTTTCTATTATAAGCAAAATATATGCATATAATTTCATTTACCTTTTCACTATAGTAGATGATTGAGTGACCTTCTTAGCTAAGGTAATCATCTATACCAACACCAGAGGCCTTATAGGATATCTAAAAAATCTTCTTAAAATCAAGGAGTCTAGAACTGGTGATGCGATTAACAACATATTTTTCTGCTCCAGGGCTTTAGAAGTATATGTTGTTGCTATGAATTTGTCATTTTAAGAACATTTGCCCAAGGGGAAATGATAAAATTGAAAGTCTTATAGAACTGTTTGTACAATATAGCTAACCCATGAAAACTCCTAACATCAGAGAGCGGCAAGGTTTGGCCAATCTAGGGTTGCCTTGATTTTTAAGGGATATCGTTCGAGACCCTTATAAGACACCACATGATGGAAGACAAGCTGAATGATTTTTATGAGATTTGAAAATGAGATTTTTATTATTTATTCATGCCAAACTCACAACGTTATGATTAGCTACTACTTTTGATGAACATAAGATATTATAAGTTTAACAATGATAATATTTTATGTTATTCTTATATAAGAATAAGTCGGACAAACCAAATAAGTTGGGCTCATAAATATGAATGAAGAATAACAGAAACATAGTGAAAATGAAATTCTTATGGTTGAAATTTGACCAACAGTTAATGGGACCAATTATAAGGAAGATTTCTTTCGCAAGCAATTCTTTATTGAGGTTGTGATCTTTTATTGGAAGTTTATGTTCAATGGTCAAGCTATGTACACTCGAGAGATTCTTTACTTGGGTGGAAGAGAGCATAAGAGCAAATGCACTATAAAAGAACTAATTTCAATCATTTTATCATCCAAAGATGACGAGTTTAATATTACATGGAACTCTATTTATAGAAATAAGAAGAACAGACCAAAAGGCACTAAAATAAATACTTGAATCTACCATTATATCCACACCTAATACTAACCTGATCTAGACCTTCAGATCTAGTAAACATAATGGCTTAACATGACCCATAACACAAAAAATGTGGACTTATAGGCCCAAAAAACAACATGACTTAATAATTCACAAAGCTCAAGATGACCCAAGTTCGAGATGGCCAATATATATATATATATAGGATAAAATTCATATAGATATATATATATATATATACACTCAAATTCATTAAAATAATACTACAACACCTTACCTTGCACTTATGCATAGATGCTACACGTAAGGTATATGAATGTAAAATCTTGAAATGCTAAATCAGCCATGCATCGTACATCACCACAAAGCCAAGAATGTGTTTTCTGGACGCATAAATGTGCAAATTTTAAAGATTGATATAGAACTTCTCATTCCTTAACTTGAGTGATCAGGATTGATAAACAACTTCTCATTCAATGAAGAGGGGAAGTGAAAAGTGAGTTTTTATTTAATACCCTACCCTTTGCTTATATAGTATTATAAAAAAATGACAATTGTTTGCAATTTGTTACCTTTGTTTATACCATATTATATCAAGCTTCAAGCACGCTACCAAAGTTCTTTAGTATACTCTAATAAACCTTGGTGCAATTGTCGGTGCAGCACAAATGAGATACATAATGGAGTCTGAACAGATACGCCGTTCTATGGAGCCCTTGGATTTGATCAAAAGAGTGAGAATGATTTAATTGAATTTGTCTAAGAGAAATGAAATAGTAGCGCTTTCAAAGAGCCTTCTCTCTGCTTCTTGTATACCTATTAAATGTTTTGTTTTTTCATATATTTTTGAAAATTTTGCTTTAAAAGATTTTGATTTACTGATCCAGATCAAAGAAATTGAAGAAGAAGCATTCACTGAGCCCGGCATGGAGACAAAACAAGTGCCTAAGCAGACTGCTGCGGTTGATGTATCAAAAAGGTTGAATGATTTAAGGGCAACGAATGATGCCAACAGCCTCAAAGGTGACTTTTTTACCATCATTAGTTGGTTTAAGTATTGTGCAATTTTTTTCCATCAAATTGCTTTTAAGATCGAATGGAAGTAGAGCTGGCTCGGGATTCTCCATCATCTGAGTCCAATTTACCTTTTTTGCTTCCCATTCTTAATGTGTGATTACCTTTGTTCCTGTCATTGCTCAAACTCAACCACTTCGCTTTGCGTAGTACTGCTCATTGTCTCAAACTCATAACTGAAGGGTTAAAGGATAAATATAGTAGAATATGAGATATATGATAACATATATGTACATTTAGGTCGAGCAACAACTATTCTATAGAACATACTGTCATATAAGACTTGTTCAATGGGATACAAGGTTTCTATAGTGGATAGGGCTTTTGTGGAAGGATGTGATTCACGCTTCTTTTGGAACAACTTTTTTATTGCTTCTTAAAACAACTTTTTAGTACAAAAAATAAAAATTTTGTACTAGAAAGCTGCTTTAAAAAACAGTAAGAAAGCCATCCCAAACAAAGTCTCAGTCTTTATATAACTGGGTATTTGATAAGCAGTTTGTTTATAGGATAAATGGTTGTTTCTACCAGGGATTACTTCTGAGAATATGCCTGATAAGTAATGGTTCTCTTGAGGGTGTTTCGTTTCGTCTTGTCATCTTTGTCTCGGTTGGTAACCTCACATGTCTAGGATCATACAAAATGAAGTGAAATGCTGAAGCTTGCAACCATTTTAGTGTCTGTGTGTGGGTCTCTGAAAGGATTTTGCTCATGGGGTTCGAATGTAAAGAGTACGACCGCACTATCCCGCAGGACAAAATGATCGTAGACCTTTACACTCGACATAAGCAGGCCGATGGAAGAGCAGATCAAGTTATACATACGATTAGCCATGAAAGATAGTGACTTTCTCCTACGCACTTCGATGGATAATAATATGTATAACCCAAAATTTCATGATATCTGCATTCATGTTATAAATTCTCATAGTGATGCCAACGAATGCACATGAATGCACATGAAAGTTTTCCAACAAATTCTCATAGTGATGCCAACGAATAGTGTATAAGTGGAATAGTAAAGATGTAAAGGTTTCAATTCAAATCTTCCTATATATGTAAGCATTTTTTTATGTGGATGAACATTTCCATGGAAGGATGTAACATAAAGATCCAAACAAGGTTTATCCTAGCACATGAATTTTTTTAAAAGAAGAACAACAAAAATAAAATAAAAAGAAAGTTTTGGAAAGAAACGTTCAAAGCATTCAATCTCATACTTAAAGAAAACGAAGAAAGGAGAATTCCAAATCTCATGCTAGAACGCTTTCAAGAAGATGACGCTTACTCTAGAGAGGAAGGGCAAATCATGTTAGAGATTTCACTTCCAAAAATGTATGAAGTTATGCTTTCAAGTGCACCTTTTAAATCTTTGGCTCATAGTGAGATTTAGTAAATGAATCACACCCAACATCGCGATGAAAAGAAAGAAAGACAAAACAAAACCCCTATACCAAAAAAAAAAAAACATTTACAAAGTATTGGACGATGTTTAACTTGGAGTCAACAAGCATACTTATCAATATCATGAGTTATAACTATTCTAAAAAGTTGCAAAACCTATATTTTCTTCTCAGATTTTTTCTTCTTCTACAAGTCTTTAGACAACATATTGGGAAATTTTCATGTGTGCGATGCTATTATATAAAGGTTAAATTTAAACTAAATGATTATAATCTCATTTATGACACTTCGTTGGACAACTAGCTTATGATATTCATGACCTTAAGATGTAAGTCACATGAATGAGTAGATTTAAATAAAAAAAGGCTATGCATGGAATAGAACTTCATTCTTTGAGAACAAACCAACATCACCATTTCATCATTGAACTCGACATATCTTCTAGAGGACTTCATATATAAATAAAAAAAACAACGAGCACAAGCATCCTCTCTTGAAAATAAATCCAACAACAAATCACATGTTTATAAAAGACATTGAAAACAAGAATATGTCACCATGTTTGGATGCACATTCAACATACAACTACTCCAATAACCCATGAGCTAATCTCACAATAAAAGAGGGGCAAGACATCTTTGGTTGACATCTTTTCCTCACTCAAAAGAGCTTAAAATATTAAGTTGAGCATTAGCACAAGCATCTTGTGTGCATGATTTGGTATAAGATTAACATGGCATCTCATAATCCCAAATCATTCACACCTAAAACTCTAAATCGTGACATGAATTAAAAAAAAACATGAGTTTCCCATTCCCAACTACACATAGGAGAAATAAATAAATCATCACATGGCACCAAAATCAACTATGCAAGCTATCATGAAATCCACTATAAAGAGTGTATACACTCACTTAGAAATCAAAAGAATTAATTGTGTGATGACATACACACCATGAGGTTTCAATCCACATTTAAACTTAACAAAAATAAAGTTCCCCATAGGTGCAACTTACTGCCAACTAAAATCATCCACAATATTCTAGATAAAATGAGAGGAAATCATGGTAGCTAGAGTAGAGGAAGAAGATTAAGGAAGAGGGAAAAGGAAGGAAGAAGAAGAAGTAGGAGAAGGAGAAGAAGAAGAATAAGAAAGGAGAAGGAGAGAGAGATACTCACCTTGCAAAGAAGCGGCTAAGGCGAGTCGATGGCGTCGGCTTCGGCTAGGGTAGGCGATGGGGGAGACGGCTTCGGCTTCCACGCGAGGGAGGTGGGGATTTCGGCCTCCCTGTTTCGGTCCGAACAGAGCAGAGACAGAGAGGGAGGGAGAGCTTGGCGCAAATCCGAGAGCTGAAGAGGGAGTTTGGGGCTCTTGGCTCGCACGAGAGAGGAAGATCGGGAGTAGGGAGTTCCGCCTGGGAGCTTCTACCGAGAGTGAGAGGGGGAGAAGGGTTTTCGGTCTTGGTTGGAGTTCGCTAACAAAGGGCGATTGAAAGAGGGAGAGGGCGATGGGTGCCTAAGAGCAAGGGAAAACCGAGAGAGCGAGGGAGAGGGAGCGAATGCCGAAGCCGAAGGTCTTCGTTTTGGGTAAATCAAACTCGTCGCCGAAAGAGGAAGAAGAAGAAGTAGGAGAAGGAGAAGAAGAAGAAGAAGAAGAAAGGAGAAGGAGAGAGAGATACTCACCTTGCAAAGAAGCGGCTAAGGCGAGTCGATGGCGTCGGGTTCGGCTAGGGTAGGCGACGGGGGAGACGGCTTCGGCTTCCACGCGAGGGAGGTGGGGATTTCGGCCTCCCTGTTTCGGTCCGAACAGAGCAGAGACGGAGAGGGAGGGAGAGCTTGGCGCGAATCCGAGAGCTGAAGAGGGAGTTCGGGGCTCTTGGCTCTCGCGAGAGAGGAAGATCGGGAGTAGGGAGTTCCGCCTGGGAGCTTCTACCGAGAGTGAGAGGGGGATAAGGGATTTCGGTCTTGGCTGGAGTTCGCGAATACAAGGCGACTGAGAGAGGGAGAGGGCGACGGGTGCCTGAGAGCAAGGGAAAACCGAGAGAGAGAGGGAGATGGAGCGAATGCCGAAGCCGAAGGTCTTCGTTTTGGGTAAATCAAACTCGTCTCCGAAAGAGGAAGCCCGCGCATTCGTCGTCTCGTGCTTCAGTTTTCCAAACATCACGCGAATAGATTATTTTCTGCTCCGTATTTTTGCCCCGACTGTGGAGGATCGCAGGTATCAGGCAACGGCTTCGGGCCAGCGAACCGTTTGATTCAAGCCGCTTGATCCAATTTCCTGATCTAGGCAACATATTCAAATCACTTGGAAAGTTAAATGGATTCTAACATAATTAAATTAGGCTGAGTCAAGTTAAATTGACTAAAACCGGGTTAGACTCGAGTCTGAAATTTGAGTCAATTTAGGTTCGAGCTGGCTCAATAAAGCTAATTATATAAAATTGAATCCAAGATAATCATCAATTTAAATCAAATTGGATACGGCGCGACCAAAACAAACTAATCGAGCCTAATTGAACACAGTCGAGTCTAATTCGACCCAATTCAAGTCGATTCAAACTCGAATTGGACTCGACGTGGTTCAATTGAGTCGATCGAAGGTGCTCGAGGGTACTCAAGCGGAAATCGAGGTCAACACTGTGTTGGGATGCCGCTTTAGAATCAATAGTGTAAGATCAGAAGGCACTTATTCTTTCAGAAATTTTCTGGTATGAGGATCGATGTAACTGAGGCTTTAAGTAAGCCTACCCATAATTCATTTTCCAACTTGTTTGTACGATAACCTGAACCCAGTCTGTTGTCGCTTAGGGTTCATTTGATTGCGTGGAAAGGCTTATTTGGTTGCTTGCAATTAGAGAAATTGCTTTAAGAAAAGGTGAATTCGTTTTCACTTATTTTTGAGTTTGAAAATTAATCTCACTTGTGGGAGTTTTCACTTGTGGGAGTTTTGGGGGAGTTTATAATTTAAAATCAATGTTAGTTTCCAACTAATTTCAACCAAATAATAAACTTGAGAAATTTCATTCTTCAAAACACGTTTTCAAACTTCAAGCAACCAAATGAGCCCTAAATTGAAAATATGTTTTAGAAAATTATGAATTTTTTTCACTCATTTTGAGTGTGAGAATGAAATCATCATTTGTTAAGCCTGCTTTCTTTGGTTACCTTATTCCCAATCGTCAAACTTTGGGCAACCTTAAAGCTTTCCACACCAAAGCACATCCATAATCCTGACGCACATAAAAAATCCGTTACCGACTACGGAGCGGTTGTTAAATCATTCAGGAGTTGTTTAATCTTTTTGTAATCTCTTGCATCCTGATAGGAAACATTCCACCGCAACAGTGAAAATTCTGTTTTCAGAGAAAAACAGCAATAACAGAACAGAAAAAACTCAAGAAAAACAATAAAAAGAGTGAAAAATCTGAGGGAAAACACTTAAAATTCACTAGCAGAAGAAGAAAAACAGCAAGATACAATTGATCCTCTATTCGAGAGGAGGATCTTTCTCTCCCAAATCTCTAGACACCGCTAGAGCCCGAAAGAAAATCTAAATCTAAGAGATATCAAATTTCAGCCAAATTCAAGATGTCGTAACCCTAGGAAAACAAACTATTTAATGTATACAAATGAAAATGAAATATTTAAACTGTCCCTACATTCAAATTTCCCTCCCAAATCCCTCAAAATTCTTTCCCAAAAAGCTCCTTAAAACTTGGAGGCTTGAGAGACATACGCAGGAGGTGGAGAAGTTCCGCCTCAATCCCGTGTAGATCCCATGTGGATTGGCTGGACCGGTCCAATTGACCGATCTAACACATCCATCTGAACTCACCAAGTACTTTTTTTTTCGAATTAATAGAAAAAAAATCTTTATAACTACCAAATTAATAGAACAAAAATCTTTATAACTACTGAGGTTTTCTTCGTGCATAGAAAAAGTGGCAGTAATGTTTCTACTTATAAATTTTTAACGATACTCTCCTAATTGCTTAAACATTATAAATCTTTTCATCGAACAGCTCTCGAGGAATGGAGGAAAAGGAAGATGGAGCGATCAAGGCAACGCCAAATTGAGAGAAACACAACCATCACATCTCAAACCTGAATAACATCATCATATGTAATCATGTAATTTCTTTTACCCATTTGCAAGCTGTGTGGTCAGAAGTTGAATGGTCATAATGTCCACGGTTCCTGTATAATTGAATTCGTAATTACTTCTTTCTGTAGAAATTGTTGTTCTGATATGATATGAAATAATCCATTTTAATATCCAGAGGTCTTCGCCTGTAATGCTTTTTGATTTTGTCACATTTTTATTGCAGCCAAGAGATCATGTTGTCCCTTTCTGTCAGGATATCATTATGTTCTGCTCTGACTAAAATTTCTATTTTGGATGAAATAGCACTCGAAATATTCAGAATAAGCAGTTATTAGCGAACTAAACATTGTTATCTCAGAATCTTACATCTTTGAACAAAGGGCAGTAGAGAGAACCAAGTAATGTTCATATCTTATTAGATTTACACCAAAGTTTTTCTCAAGCTGTAATTAAGCATTCTCCTTGTAGCTCATCTGGTCTCATGCAGGGATCTGAGACGAAGAAGAAATGACTCAGGACCATGGAACTGGTGTTGTTTTTGCGTGTCAATGAACAACCAAAGCTGCATCTGATTTAGGAAAAATTATTAGGCGCGCACCGTCCGCATAAGCACTGGTACCTAGCGGTACCCAACAGTACCCAGGGTACCTAGCGGTACCTAGCATTACCCAGCGGTACTGAGTGCGCGTACCGCTAGTTACCCAATGCTTGTGCGGACGGTTCTCCCCGTACGCACTCCGCACCTAATAATCTCTCCTGATTTAGGTTTTGTTTGGGATAGTTTTTTACCACTGCAGTTTTACTGTTTTTAAAAAATATTTTACATTAGAAAACTGTTTTATAAAACAATAAGAAAGTATTCCCAACCAAAGCCTCAATCTCAAGCTTTGCCAAGCTTGGTTAGACATTCATTACTCAGTAAGTTCCATGAATTAATGAATGAAGGTTAAGCCCTATGCGTTATCAAAAATGAACTTGATTGGATATGAATATCACCGCATATTTGAATTAAAAATTTTCAAATTTAGATTTAGGAACATTTATAACTCTTATTTCAACAATTTTGTAATTGAGCTAAATGTTTTGACAAATGAACTCAATGATAAAAAAAGTCGTCCGATGCGAATATGAATATTTTCACACCAAGCATTTGAAGTGTGATAGGAAACTTCAATGCACTAATTAGAGCACCAGAAGATTTTCAAAATTTGCATGCTTATAACAAAATCAAACATCTCAATGAGATGAATACAACAAGCTTAAAATCATCTAATTCTAACATCATTAAAGTAATTAAATAAAAATATAATAGTTTATGATAGAGGAAATTAATGTGGGTTGTCTAATAGAGTGCATAAGATTTTGTACTTTGGTGTTTTTTACAACTCTTTTATCTATATATGTATTAGATTTTCATATTTTTAAATATTAAATTTAAAAAGTATAAGATATTTAAAAATCATCTCTCTTTATTCATCTTTTAATTTTTCTTCTTTATTTTCATTTTATTAAAATAACAGCTTGAATCAAATTTTTTTTGTCTCTTTCATAATAAGTAAGTCGGTTTGGGCTTTCTTGAACTCATAAAATTACTCAAACTCTAATTCGGTTTGAGCGGTTTCAACTACTAAAGCCATTTGTTAACTTTGAAGCTAAAATAGTCATGTGTAACTTTAGCAATAACTGTTTAAGATGAATATTCTCTATTTAATGTCATTTGAGATAAATAAAATGTAAGTGTTAATTGCTATTATAAATATTATGTATTTCAATCCTCTTTGAGTATAGAGCGAATTTCTCCAAGCTTTTAGTTTTATTTTATTTATTTGTCAGGAAATTTATATATACAACAAAACTGTTCTATATTTACATATATTAAACTTTTATATTTATTTATGTAATATTAAATATTCTAAACCATATAAAAATACTATTAATATTAATTTATTTAAAATAAGATATATATTTGATATGAATTAGGTATAAAATTATTATATAAATAAATATATAAATTTAAATAGATAAAATTTGTAGCAGATTTATAATTTATTAAAAAAAAAAAAATCTAAAGCCAAAAAAAAA